GTTCTTTTGCAATGATGCAATTAAAAATGGGTAGAACAAAGCAATTCTTGGTACTATGAATGAAAAATGCATTTTTATTTATAGCATTATCCCAGAACCATTGTGTGTACCCCGTCTGGCATATTACTCTAAAATAAAACTGTAGATTGGATAATCTTTCTTTGGGAGTTCTCCAGCTATTTTTTGGTAGTTTAAATGGCTCTGCCACTTCCTGTATAATATCATGTTTTCTAGATTATTTTCATTTTTAAAAATGTAAATCCCTTGAGTTAATGCTGCTGTTTTTCTTTTCTAAAATTCTTAACTGAGAAGTCCTTTTAACTGTCTTCAGAAGACTGCTTAGAAATTATAGATACTCAGACCAACATTAAGCACCTAATGGTAATTATAATGATTCTGAATGACATTCACTAATTTAATTAATAAAGGGTAAAAGTACCACCCAAGCTGAAGTGGAAAAGACACTAAGGTACTAACTTTTGGTCTCAGGGACCAGGATAAAGTATAGCAGAAAGGAAAAGAAGCACTTCCTTTCCAGTGCATTCCATATCTCCTTGAAGAGACTCCAGCTCACCACTGCCCTCTTAATTAACTTCTCTCCCCTTGTAATGTCCAGAAAGATTTCAAATTGTCTCTCCACCTTTTTTCTCTTTTCCTTTACATTAATATCATTTCTAATTCCTTGATGTTGATTATATATCCCTGTAAAGATTTAGGAGGTAAACCACTTAACTCTTTTCCCACTCCCAATATTTGTATTTTCAGTTTTCTTTTTTTAAAATATATTTCTTTCTCTCTCTCTCTTTATTTATTTATTTTTTTGGAGAGTTTTTGGTTTCTTGTTCGTTTGTTTCCTATAGGGCACGTACACTCACCAGAAAGACAGAGAGAGATAGAAAACGAGAGAAATCACACACACACACACCCCCAAATGGTCACATCACAATCCCTTCTCCTCCATTCTCATCTCGGGATCTTGGGCACGCACACACATGCGCCCAGCGTGAGTTTAAGCCACCAGGTCTGGGACTTAGACCACAGTTGACTAATGGGAGTTCAGCAACATAGCCATTATGCTAACTGCAGGTTCCTCTTTCTCTTTTTTAAAAAATTATTTTATTTCATTTCTTATCATCATTATTTGTCTAATGGGATGAAGAGAGACAGCGAGAAAGGGAAAGTAGGAAATCAAGCCGCCAGGTCTAGTACTTAAACCGCAGTTGGCCATGTGGGAGTCCAATGTCTTAACTACCATGCCACCTGCCAGCCCCACATTTTCAGTTTTCAAAGAAATTGTTCAAATGAACCTCCTACCTCCAACTGACATGTTTTTAAATCGTGTGACCAAAAATTGAGTGGGATTTGGAGGGGCGATAATATGACAGGGGTTTTTTTCTTAATGAAAATCTGCTCTACTATGATCAGCTCCCTGAAGTTATTTGTTCCTTTGGTAGTTCATCTGGTCTTACTGTATTTCTTCTTTTTAAGACCTATTTTATTTAACTTTATTTATTTAATTTGACGAAGAGAGAGAGAGAGAGAAAGCTGCCAGGTCTGGGACTGAAACTATGGTCGGCCATGTGGGAATCCAGCGTCCTCAACTACCATACCACCTAGCGGTCCCAGTCTTACTGTATTTCTAAACTTGTAGATCTTCCAAAAGTTTGGTGTGCATATATTGGGTTGTTGGAAAAGTCAGGACACATTTTTGCTTAGAAAGATGTAGAAAAATGTATCATGACTTTTCTGAAGACCCAATATTAGGATTTTTGTATATGGAGATTGATGGTGATAATTGATCATTTTGTTTTCACGATTCTGTTTTATTTTATTTTATTTTATTTTATTTGTTATTATTATTATTATTCAGTTTGACCAGAGAAAGAGAAAAAGAGAAGGCAAGCCACCAGGTCCGGGACTAGAACCAGGGTTGGCCATGTGGGAGTGTCCAGCACCTTAACTACCATGCCACCTGCTGGGCCCTGTTTTCACAATTCTTACTGAGAAACTCCCACAGTACCCTAACCTGACAAATTTCTTGGATAGAAATCTCTGTCAAACTTTTCCAGGTTTCATTTTCTCCCTATCTCAGCCAAGATGGAAGTTTAAGGGACTCTTAAATATGAGTGAATAAATAAGCAATTGACATACCAAACTAAAAGTTTGCTAACCCCTAAAATTGAGAAAATGGCCTGAAAGTTCTCTTTATTGCAGAAAAATACATAAACCATGCCATCCAAATATAGTTGTTTTGGACGAGTCAATAAAAGTAAATACTAGGAGGGGGACCAGCAGTTGGTATAATGGCTATGTCGCTTGACTCCCATGTAATCAACCATAGTTCGATTCCCGGACCTGGTGGCTTAAACTCATGTCAGGCGCATGTGCTGTGCGTTCCCAAGATCCCAAGAGGAGAATGGAGGGGAAGGGATTGCTGCGTGGCCATCCACCCTGGGGGGTTATTTCTCGTTTTCTGTCTCTCTGTCTTTCTGGCAAACGCATGCGCCCTATAGCAAAAACCTCTCCAAAAAAAAAAAAAAAATCTGTAATGAAGGAATTAAAATACAAATTTTGGGTGCAGAGATACTTTGAAAACTATTGGGTTGTGGGAAAAGACATGACTCATTTTTGCATAGGAAAAAATATGTCATGACTTTTCTGACAACCCAATGTTAAATATTCAAAGGCATTCCATCTCTCTCTTAATAATAACCACTCTATATTAGTGATACAAAGTGGGCCCAGCAGGTAGTATGGTGGTTAAAGGTGCTGGATTCCCACATGGCCAACTGCAGTTTGAGTCCCAGACTTGATGGCTTGCTTTCTTGCTTTCCCTTTCTCTTTCTCTCTCTGGTCAAATTAAAAAATAATAACAAATGGAATTAAATAAATAATTCTTTTAAAAAGATAAAGGAAGTGGTACAAAATGAGAGAGCAGACTAAGTCAATAAACCCTTCTCAGCCTGAACTGGTTTTCTTCACAATTACCTATAAAAGAATTAAGTGTTCTCTATAAGGTCTGTCTATAATATGTAATTCAGACATGGTGAACTTAAAGAGATGTAAATTGTAAAAGTGTCATGTGCAGTATCAGAACTATGGTCAGCTATTACTGGTCAAGTCTTATGTAGAAATGTAGAAAACATTTTCTTTTTTTTTATTTTCTGTTTGTTTGTTTTGTTTTGTTTTGATAGAAGGATTATACCTGTGTCTGCTTAATTGGAAAGGTAAGCAGTTTAGGTAGCATCTGATTCTCTTATTTGATGTATGTTATTTCCAGTTTTGTCAAAAACTGTGCATCTCCTAGGCATAAGAGAAACTTCCAATCTGAAGTGGAATTAAGAGCATTCTTACTTAAATAGGAACTCAGTGGCAACGTGGTAGGGTAGAGGATACACTAGACTTCTAAATTTCTCCTTATTGCTCTGGCCTTTCATGTGATAGGTATCTGGTTGGGATTTTAAAAATACATGATTACTGGGCCAGTAACTGATGTGGAGGTGAAAGCACTGGATTCCACTTCGCCAACTGGGTGGTTTGAGTCCTGGACCTAGCGGCTTAAAAATCATGCAGAGGGGAGCAGCAGTTAGCGTAATGGCTATGTCTCTGAACTCCCACGTAGTCGAGTCCTGGACCCGGTGGCTTAAACTCATGCCCGGCACGTGTGTGTGCGTGCCCAAGATCCTGAGAGGAGAATGGAGGAGAAGGGATTGCAGCATATGGCAATCCCCCCTGGGGGGTGATTTCTCGATTTCTGTCTCTCTGTCTCTCTCTCTCTCTCTGTCTGTCTGGCGAGCACACATGCTCTATAGCAAAAACCTCTCCAAAAAAAAATAATAATAATAATCATGCAGGGTATGTGTACGTGCATGCCCAAAATTCCAAGAGGAGAATGGAGAAGAAACTGCTGTAAGCCCATCCCTTCTGCGGGGTAATTTCTTACTTTCCTTCTCTCTGTGGCAAGCACATGCGCCCTATACCAAAAAAAAAAAAAAAGGCATAATTACTATTTTAAAGCTCTCTAATTATGTGAGTGCTTAATACAACTTGATGTCATTATATGTACTATTAATTACTTAAAATGGAACAGGAGGAACAAAACTACACTGCAACAGGAAGCAGTTTTATTTCTTCATTCAGAGTGTGAAATTTTTAATGCATTTATTTTAAAATTAAATAAAAATTGTCAAGTGTTATTTTGGGACATAGATTGATGTTCATTGATGTACTCCTCATCAATTCTTTTTTTTTCCTTTAAGAGAGATTTTTGCTATAGGGCATGTGCACTCGCCAAAGAGACAGAGACAGACAGAGAGATGGAAAGCGAGAAATCACCCCCCAGGGGGAATGGCTACGCCGCAATCCCTTCTCCTCCATTCTCCTCTTAGGATCTTGGACACGCATGCACATGCGCCCAGCATGAGTTCTAAGCCACCAGGTCCAGGACTGGAAGTGCAGTCGACTACATGGGAGTCCAGCAAAGTAACCATTATGCCATTTGCTGGTCCCCCCTCATCAATTCTTATTTAATACATGGTATTTTTATTCACTTGGATTTTTATAAAGCGACTCTTTTGTTTTTGGCAAAACTGACTAACTGCACAAATGTGATTCCACTGTCCTCCCTTACATAGTTGTACATGTCAGCCAGCTCCAGTGAAAACTTCTCATGAGGTGTGTTTTTACCTGACCTTACTGTACCAAACGCCAGTTCTCATTCTTGCATACTCACCGTGAAGTTTATAGATATCAACAGGGTATAGTCTGTTTATTTAAAAAAAAAAAAAATTCTTTCTTGCATCTCCTTCTGCAAGAAGTGGGATACAATACAAAGCACACTAGAGGGAGGCTGTGATCTATGAAATGTTGGAAGTTTAAAGGCAATAGATTCTAGTTATTAATTCTTTGTAATATAAAATATAATGATTTGCCCTTGCTCTTTTTATAAGAAACTCTATCGTTCCCTTTCTTTCCTCCCCACAAAAAGAATCTTACAGCTGGCTATCCAAGAGTTTTAAAAAATGATCTTTTTCCCCTTTGGAGGGGAGGAGTGGTGGAATAATTTACATCTAAGCTTGGTAGGGTGTTAAAGCAGCGACGTAATTAGTTTTACATAAACTATTTGTTAGCTAGAAAACCAAGGGATATTATAAGTTCAAGCCATGACAATGTACTGCTTTAACTTAATAATAAAAATTGCCCAAGTGACACTGTGTCTTTGTTGAATGGATTTTCTTACACCATCTGGCTGTCATTGTCGTTTTTTGTTGTTGCTTTCATTTGAAATGTGCTGATGATCTTATTTTTATTCCGTAGCATTGAACAGATGGGTTGATTATTCTTTTCAGATATTAATAAGGCAGCGGAAAGAAGAAAAATGAATACGGCTCCATCAAGACCCAGCCCCACACGAAGGTAAAGTACCCTGAAGCAGTGAGTTACCTTGGGAGAGTTGGGCTCTGGGGAGTTAAGCCCAACTTCATACATCAAGGGTCTTTTCTTCCCCCCAACAATCAGAAACACTCAAGCAAGCAATAAGAACTTGAACCTTGCTGCTTTCTTTAAACTTACATCAGGAGATGCACAGGAAGCTTTGTGTTTTCGTGGCATATCCAGCAAGTTCAGCTTGCAACATGAGTTGCAGGCCATTGGAAGAGGATAAACCTCTGTCTGTCCCCAGCTCACGTGTCAATGGGAGCCTCCAGAACAGGAGGAGTGCCCCAGGGTCGTTGGTGTGTGCCATGCTGCACTGCAGTGGGCAGCAGAGATTCGACTCTTCATTCCAAATGGCTGCTGGTCCAGATGTTAACCCAGGTTTACAGAAGGTGCTGCTTGAGAGATTGCTGCTGTGCCTGTGCTGCAGACCGCTGTTTGCTCGCATGCTTGGGTTACTGTTTGAGGGGAAATAAAAAGGGCAAAAAATTCTCTCTCTCAAAAGTCTCCCTTTTTCTTAGCTTTCCTGGAAATAGGAGGCATTATCCTAATATATTCTTCCTTCCGATATGAACAAAAGAGATAGTCCTGCCATGTACCCTCAAGATATGCATTAAATTGGTCCCTTCCCTCAAATGTTACCATTTACACCAAAGATGAGTATATTGTATCCAGACTTTCTGACCTTGTAACAGCACACAAGTGGATGCAGTATGTGCAGTTTTGTGTGGAATACAACAATTGATATATTTTATATTCAGTGTCTCTTCAAGACCCATATGGCTACTCAATATGGATTTTGCCATTGCCCCTAAGTAAAAATGCCAGTTGTCCACAGAAACTACATATCTATACTATATACCACAGTAAACTACATTTTCTACAGCAAACTGAACATTGCTAAATACAGTGAATTAATCCTGGTCTGTATGGGTAGTTCCACAGGGCACCAGGAATTATGCCCAGCCAACTGAGCACTTACATGTAATATATAGTGTTCCTACTTTGAAGCAAAAATACTGACATTTTTAGGTGAAAATAAAATATAGTCAAAAATGGCTGCTGTATGTTTCATGTATATACTGCTATGTGGATGTGAAGGAAGGGTGCGTTCCAGCCACCAGGAATCTACTTTGCAGATTTCAAGCAGACCCTAGAGATAAAGTAATGCTGCAGGTTCCACTCTCTGTCCACTCTGCCTATGCAGAGGAGTTAAGTCCCCCATCACAACTTTAGCTGCACTACAGCTATCAGGTGGATGCTTTGGCCATCCATTGGTTTCACTGCAGAAACTAGCATATACATTAGTATTCTGTATGTTCTCTTTAATACCATAAGGAATGCCTGCGGTTTGCAGGTAAATACTTCATCGTTTGATTTGTGTGTGTGACTATCCTGAAGAATATAAACAAATCCTGCAGAATTTTAACAGTTCCATTTAGTGTCTGCTCATGGTAGGTTGCATCTGACCATGCTGCAGATATTGGGCAGTCCCATTCATTTGGCTCCTCATTGCCCCAGTAAACATGGAGTGCAGGTGGCTAAGAGTTTGCATGTAATAGTTAGAAATATGGGGCTCCTTTTGGAAGCAGTAGTTGCCAGATGGCTTGATGATGGGCATCCAGTTTCCAAAGAGCTCTAATGTATGAACTAACTAGGTGGCTTTCTAGAAAGAATGCAGAATTTGTAATGCTAAAGATACTGGCTCCTCTAGTAACCCCGTATACCCCATTGTCCACATTGCTCATTCACATAATGTTGTCTCTTGTGTTTCTGCAGATAAAAACAAAATGATATATTACAAAATAGAGAGTAATTCTATTTCTGTTATAGATTGAGAAAAAGCTTATAATGCTTCTAGTTCATTGGTTCATTATTCCAGTTTGTTCATGCAACAAACATTGTAGTATTAGGGAAATAACTAGCTCTTCTTGTTAGAATCCAATGGAACCACTGCTAGGGCATTAAATTAAAAAGATTAATTTTCTCCTAATCTAAAATTCAAGTCCATGATTTCATCTGTAAGACAAGAAATTACGTTACGCTTTTTTCTTTTTTAATAATAGTATCCCCACAAAACAAATGTAGAAAGAACATTGGAGAGAAAGTTTTAAAATGAGCTTCTTATCAAATATATAAATATAAAAGTCACTTTTTTTTTTTTAATTTGCTACTGGGTGCATATACTCACCAGAGAAAGATACACCGAGAGAGAGAAGTGAGGAAGCACCCTCCCATGGTGAATGGTCATGCTGTAGTTCCTTCTTCTCCACTTCTCTTGGGATTTTGGACACATACACACACACACACACACACCCCAGTTGTTTTAAAAGCCACTGGGTCTGGGACTCAACCCACTCAGTTGGCCACGTGGGATCTAGCCACCTTACCCATAACACCACCAGCCACCCACAAGTCACTTCTTTTTTTTTTTTTTTAAGAATTACCTATTTAGGGGCCAGCAATTAGCATGATGGCTATGTTGGTTCGAGTCCCGTACCCGGTGGCTTAAACTCACACGGGGCGTGTGTGCGTGCATGCCCAAGATCCTGAGAGGAGAATGGAGGAGAAGGGATTGCGGCGTGGCTATCCCCCCCGGAGAGTGCTTGCTCTATTTCTATCTCTCTGTCTCTCTTTGTCTGTCTGGCAAGCGCACGTACCCTATAGCAAAAACCTCTACAAAAAAAAAAGAATTACCTTTTTAATTTTATCTGTTGTCATCATTTTAAAATTTGACCAGAAAGAGACAGTGAGAGAGAAAGAGAAAATGAGAAAGCAAGCCACCAGGTCCAGGACCTGAACAGTGGTCAGCCAGGTGGGAGTCCAGCATCCCGACCACCATACCACCTACTGGCCCCCAGCAAGTCACTTTTATATACCTTTTCAAATGCCACCTTCCGGGGCCAGCAGGTGGTGTAGTGGTTGAGGTGCTGGACTCCCAGGTGGCTGGCCGCAGTTCAAGTCTCAGACCTGGCAGCTTGAAGCTCACACTAGGTGCATTTTGCATGCTCGCCCCAATCCCAGAAGAATGGAGGAGAAAGGACTGTGGCATGGCCATCTTCCCAGGGGAGGAGAATTCTCACTTTTATCTCTCTTTCTCTCTGTCTCTTCAAGTGCATGTGCCCTATAGCAAAATCTCTCAAAAATAAATAAATAAAATAAAATGCCACCTTCCTCAGAAATGAATTCTGAAATGAAGTTGTTTGGGGTGTTGATAGGACAGTGTCTTCCAGCTTTATTTATAATCAACAGGAGGGGGACAGCTAGGCTAATTCAAATTCCATTAGCAATCAGTCTTCTCCTTGGTGATCTGTCCCTTACAGGGTTCCTCAGCATGTTATTTAACATGATGCAGTTGCATATAGTCATGTTTATTTGCTTCAGGGAAGAAAGATGGTCACATTTAGTCAAATCTGTTCTGAGCTTCATCTAAAACCTGAGCAAGAGTCCCAGTTTCTTACCTTAAAAAAAGAGTTAAGAGACAAATCAAACATTGTATTCAAAATAGAGTGCAGTGCTCATGGTATGGTGGTGAACAGTTTCCTTCCAAAATAGAGCATCAGTGTTTTGATTGTTGCCCTGATCGTATGTTATGTTTTAAGATACTGGAGAGAAATAAATAGGGCAGAAATAAAATGCAAAGAATAGGCAAGATGGGTGAGCGATTAACCTAGAAGGGGCTAATCATTTCTCTGAGCATAAACACTGGGTATCTTCCACTGTGGGAGCGTGCTTCCAATAAAACCTTTGAGGTAATTCCAAATGTGCCAGTGCATTGACAACAGCCAACTGCCTTCCTTTGGCAGCTCTGGTTATTTTATGTGCCCAGCATAGAAGATACATAGTTCATGGCTGGGGGTGGGGGGAGGGACCCAGGGCAACTGTTTTCTTCAGTTGTACCTCTGCGTCTCCAGTGCTGTCTACTTTTAAAAAGAAAATTGTTTTTAAGCATGCTGGGAAGACCTTTGTAACACCTTGTTTTGCTGGACTTTAACCTTGAGTGTCAAAACACCTAGGTATCTTTGGGAGTTACACAGGATTATCACCTCTTCAGATGTCTGTAAACCATAGTTCTGCTGGCTTCGCTGTCTACTCAGTAATGTGCCTCCCTAATGACTCTAGCTGTCAGCATATAATTCTGACAATATTGACCCAGCCAAAAACATAACTCTGCAGGAGGGATCCCTACTCTGGATTGCGTTTCATTCTGAATTCTTACCATCTAACCATTGGGTCTCTTCACTGGACTCCTTGAGTACATTGCATAGTTACCATGCAAGTTGTCTAGCGTTGGTACTAGGCATTAAGTCTTCAAAAACTGGATCATGATTCTGGTTGTACCTTAGATGTTCTCAGTTACCATCTTCAGCCCAACACCGTGGCAATCCAGGTCTTGGAGCATATCCTTATACAGATGTGGCCCGCGTGTATTCAAAGTAAGACTTATTTTATGAATGTTCAAGTGTAACTTGAAGAACAAATAAAACTAACTTGTCTACATTGGAAACCCTGCAGAGGATTTTCCTCATATATTTGTGAAGGCTGTTAAGCCTGGTAACTTTTCAGTGAAAATTATTGGGGATTGTCTCATCAGCAATAACCAGGCTACTTGTAAACAAATTTCTTATATGACTTGAGATACTTTCTACTTATCTACAGGTCCTTAATTCCTTTGATAACTGCATGCTCCTTGGGTGTGAGACAACCCTGGCCCTAGGTATGACTCACAATTAAAGATTCCAGGCTGTGATTATCTCTGCACTAACACTTGAAGAAAAGTCATCAGTTCTCAATCAAGTGCTACCTCTACCAACAGGAAAGTCATATTTGTGCTTGAGAAAATCATTAGCCTGCTAGTACCTAGAGACAAGCATGGACACAACAAAATTTGGATCTGTGAGGAGTAATACATTTGCACCCCACTGCCTACCTGCACCTAATGATGAAATGCTACACAAGTCTGTTGTCTCTGTTGCGAACAA